ATAAGTACAGTGTAGGTTGATGATGGACTAGCTGACGGTTATTACTCTGCATGAAATGGGGTGTCTTGTTTTCATTGGTGTATATCTCAAGATCTGTCATGACTGGAGAACAGGTACACTAGAAGTAAGGCGTGGATACACCTGAACCTTGAACTGACATCAGATAAAAAGCTAAGACCACGTGCCTAGCACACAAGTTTAGAGTTAAGGTGAAAAAAAACAAGCACGTCGGCAGAACGTACTGCACCTGCGTGAAACCCATAATGTATTGTGCACAGCACTTTGGTAGAACGTCTCATATAAGGTCGTATTCGCGCATATAAGGTTAACACTCCGTCTGTAGTTTCCAAATGTTAGGTCGGAAAAGATATCTTCTGCAACAGGCAAAATTTTGATGCAACGTTGACCACAAATCCACCGAAAACCGTGAAAATATAGGGTTCTGCGCAGGCGCAGTACGTTCTGCCGACGTGCTAAAAAAACATATATAGCCAAAATATATATCATCGCGTCCACGTTCAAAATTCATGTATCAAAACCACAATATCTCATGGAGTGTTGATGTTTACAACTTCTTGTTCATTTTGCAGATAACGACGAATGCGCCGAGGGTACCGACAACTGTCATATGCACGCCACCTGTACCAACATCCCGGGGTCCTTCACCTGTGCCTGTAACCCCGGCTTCATTGGAGACGGCGTGAATTGCTCTCCTGTCCCATGACATTGTCAGATTATCAGATTGAAACCATTAGTAAAGCATCCTATATAGCTATTAATGATATACACATGTATTATGAACGCGCAATAGGCCGGGCGTAGGAAATACAACTGAGTGCACATCCCAATGTGGAAATACCTTTGCTGGATATGAAAAACTTAGCTTTCGCTTAGTCAATCTTAGAACATCCATTGGGCAATTCAGTTACTATTTACTTAATATAATCACCAAATAGAGCATTTAAAGCATACACTAAGTACAGTATTTGAAGCTTATATAACTTGTTGGATACATATCCATTAGTTAATGTTACTACTTAGTATTTACTCAAGTTAACCGGAGACTATATGACAATTTGATGTTTAACGTTATAATCACCAAGTAGAGCATTTAAAGCATATACTCACCAAGCTAGTAGAGCCGTCTAAGCATACAACCTATTGGATGCATACCGTTAACCGGAGACTATATAGCAGGTTATATTCATTTGATGTTTAGTGTTATAATCACCAAGTAGAGCATTTAAAGAATATACTCACTATGAAGAGCATTTTAAAGCAGATAATTTGTTGGATACATATTCATTAATTACTAATTACTGAAGTATAATATTTACCGTAGACTGTATGTCAAATTATATTGATTTTTGACATTATACTCACCACATATAGCATTTAAAACATATAACTCGTTAAATACATACTCATTAGTTACTATTACTACTATATTTACTCATGTTACTTAGTAACTGGAAACTACATGGCAAGTTACATTAATATTTAACGGTGTAATCACCAAGTACAACATTTAAAGCATATAACCTGTGGGATACCAGTCCATTATAGTTACTATTTACTCAAGTTAACTGGAGACTTAACATTATACACACCAAGTAGATCATTTTAAAGCACATACTCACCAAGTACAGCATTTAAAGCATATAACGTGTTGGACACATATTCATTAGTTACTATTTAGTCAAGTTAATCGGAGACTATAAAGCAAGTTATATTGGTGTTAAGCGTTATAATTACCACGTAGAGCGTTACTTACTATTACTATTTTCTCAAGCTAACCAGAGACTATATAGAAAATAAATGTTAAAATGTTTAATCACCAAGTAGAGCATTTAATTAAAGCGCAATTTAATGAAGATATATCTTAATTCAAAACTGGTGTTGATAACGCACTGTGGTATTAGAGGGCAATGCTGCTAGTTATCCTTTAAACATTAGTACAGCACCGTGAGTACAGCTAACCGTAAACATTACTCCCTGTTGGTGTGATTTGGGCATGCATTAGTCACACTTTCCTATAGTGCATAGCTCACCAGAGGGACTATGTAGGAAATATGCTTGATAGATTTATTAGCTCACATTTAGTAGCCTGGTGTCCAACCGTTCTTATAGCTGCCGAGTGTCTTTCCGCAAAGAACCCGGGAGGACGAAAGAGTTAGCCTCTACCAGGCTTCGGGAGGCGGCTAGAAGAGTAGAAATTGGCCAAATAGAGAGATAACATGCCAGGAGAGTTGGTCTAGAGAGAACATTTTGCCGCACCCCAGAAAGAGATTCTGCAGCTAAATTATGATTGGACACCAGGCTAAAATTTCTCTTCCAAGACCTAGAATATACCCTTACATTTAACGATTGTAGAAAATCTACTGTTACTTTCTCTCGATAATAAAGTGGGCTACGGGAAATCTGCCTTTGACTGGATGTTCTTTGGGTGTGAAATTACGAGGAAATTCCTTAATTAGATTGAACATTACTGTTAAAAATGAATATTACTGTTAAAAATGAATGAATGAATGAATGAATGAATGAATGAATGAATGAATGAATGAATGAATACCTTTATTGTAAATTTTGGCCCCACTGGGCTAAGCACAGGTCACATGATTACAATCATATACATATAGAAATACACACACGCACACACACACACACACACACACACACAGACAAATATATATATATATAACCCGCAAATGTGTTTAAAATATGTGTTTAGGTGGCGGGGGAGGGTCGTTGTGTCAACATTGACCAAATTTTGCTGGTTTTTGTATGCTTCTGAATGTGAGAAAGCGCTCCTTCACATAAGAACATCACTTCTGGATACACATAGCTCTAATTATGGTGATTTGAACCGTGCGTAAACGAAAAAGAGAAAAGACGTTCCGTTCATCATGATTCCTGTCGCTAATCCAAATGTGGGCGTCCTTTCGAGGGTCAACCGTAAACAAACTGGCTGCAATTAAACACCAATAACTACATACGTACATCGTACTTGTCAAAATTCTAAATACTACGGTAATACGACAATTAATTGCATCTGCGCATCCTTTAGTTAACATTGGCATTTTACATTATAAACCTTGTTAAGCAAGAAATGATACCTGATATTGTGTAGCCTGGCCTGACGGGAGCCTAGGTTTTCCGTAAACCTTCTTGTTACTTTTTCGTAATCTTCAGAAAATGTATGCGAGTTGATGAAATAAAGATCTTGTTGATATATAGGCTTCAATGTACTATATACTGTATATATATGTGCTAAAATACATCAACCCCTCGCTTTTCCATGGGTGTACTGTTGTGTCAAACAAAACGCCGTGTAAAGTATTGAGGCCACAGCTGCAATACTTAATACATGGAATTGATGGTAAGTTCAGCACCAAGGAGAGGTCCACACTAAGGCCGCACAACACAGTATTTATGGGCGAACCCCTCAAAAGTAGTCCGGGCACAAAGAAGTGCTGCACAATACTAGAGAAGGGTGCAGAGATTGTTTTGTGCATGGCATCGAGATGGAACCTGTGGTAAATGTCAGAGGAATACGTCGGTTTTGAGACTGTAAAAGTTTAATTATGGTGCGTGTTCCGTCGGCGTAGATTTGCGCTTGGATACCTGTCCCGCCTTGTACTGTGCGTCGGCCTTTGACCTTTGCAGTGGAGACTGGGAACAAAAATGGCGACTGACTGTCATGGCATGGCGCGGCGTGGTGCTGAAAAAGACTCGTCCTTGCGTTAGGCTACTTAAATGTACATGTTTGTACTTCCAACAAACCTGTAGCAACAGACCACGTTATAATTCGTTTGTAGAAGTTTGCGTTTTAATTTGTAAGGGTCGGACTACAAACCCCTCGGGCTCAACTCCCCCGTAGCGGGCGAAGGGCTCTTGGCTGCCGAAGGAAAACGGCTAACGGCCCGATACTAGTTTGGCATCCAGGGTATGAATATATATGTTTGCACTTCCAACAAACCTGTAGCAACAGACCACGTTATAATTCGTTATTTTAACCGTTATATTCTGCAGAAATTTGCGTTTTGTCGATCGACATGTCGCACCAATGAAGAATACAACACAAGGTATTCCGTATCGCCCGAGGTATCGGCCCGACCGCCCCTGTACACTGTTTGACACAACAGTACACCCATGAAAAAGCGAGGGTTGATGCATTTTAGTACATATATACAGTATATAGTACATTGAAGCCTGTATATCAACAAGATCTTTATTTCATCAAGTCACATACATTTTCTGAGGTTTAAGAAAAAGTAACAGGGTTTACGGAAAACCTAGGTACCTGTCAGGCCAGGCTACCAGAATATCATTTCTTGCTTAACAAGGTTTATAATTGTAAAATACCAATACCAATGCCATTCAGGCAACATTATAATTCTATATTGTATGCCTGTATGTAAATTAAGAATTGGAAAAAATTTGAAAACGTAGGAATCTTGTTTTTTTTGCCGGCCGTGTTGTTTTTTTTTTCTCGCCCTATCGCATTAGATTTGGAATCTGCTGAGGATGTCATCCATAAAATTTACTTGCTGTGGCCTAAGTGTCAGAAAAAATAAAATCATTGTTATAACCCTTTGCTTAAGAAATAAAACATAATTAGGTTTTGCTGACATTCTACTTATTCTATCTTTTGGGGAATTTTTTGGGGAACCCACTTTTTCAGGTTGGGTGCACCAGTTCACCTACTCCCAAAAATGAATTTCGAGCCATGTATACTGTGTATACACCCTCCTTTGTCCGTAAAGGCAAAAGTATTACATATGACATGTTGTCAAAAGGTGCTAGTTTTACTTAGGTGGTATAAATTTTTTACATGTATGTATTCATCTGCCATTAGCTAGCCCCTCCACTAATTACATGTACATGTCGACAAATTTTACTGACTTATCCAGCCCTCACAGTAACTGTAAGAGTAGTACCCCAAACATCTAACCCTTCCCTGGCTTATCAGCTTAGACATACAAAAGAAACAAGACTGAATTATGAATAGTGACCCTTTTTTTATTTATATCTGTTGACTGGTAGAAATTAGTATACAGTTGGTCGATTGTTTCTGATCCGCTAAACTACTGAAATTACAGAAACTGGAATAAGTCGTTAAGTTCAAAAGGTCACTTTGAACTAAAATATTCTCTATAAAAAATACTGAAAGGTACAGTAAATATATGAGTACATGTACAGATGCAGGCTATGGTTGATAAGTGATCGTTTGCTGTTCAAGCGTGAAGAAATGAGAACTAATAATACACATATACAGACTATTTTTCGTCAAACCATAAAAATCAGATATCAAAGCTTGTGGCTTTGAGACTTCCACAAAAGCTTTTGCCCCATACAAGGGAAGCTATTAAAAATGCAATCGGCAGTGTGCTAAACTGATAAATTTTCCCATCTTTGGTTGTTGGTGTCCAAGAAATAAACCATTTAAGAACTCGTGCACCTTGTAAAAAAATGTAGGCCCCGATAAAAATGAGGAAGCGCTCGATTGGAAGCACGCATTCGTTAAATTTCAACTCTATGTATGAGAACAGCTCTTAGCACCTATGAAAATCACCCAAAACCTTCATTAGCTATTGCTCTCTTGTAAAATTTTCCTTCTCACATACTCTCCATGATTCTGTCATGATTCTTAAACCTCTTTTACAAAAAGTTGACTCTATATAACATCATGATTCGACGCTAGAAACTTCAGCACTTACAACCTGTTAAAATTTACTGTGTTTTTTTTTTCTTCTTCGTAGTTTACGACCCTATCCCACCACATGGCAAGACTTTAAAACTCAAAATAAAAGATCCTTATATACACATCAAAATAAGTTTCAAACTCCGCGGCAGATACAACTGCCCGAACTTTAACCACCAAGTGCTGTACATTCTACTACTGGAAACGTTTCATCAGCCTTACATGTATCAACGTAGAGCTAGTTAAGTATGGAAGGCAACACAAAATGTACATATAATAAATAAGAGATAGCTGGACATTTCTATGGTTAATACATCTGTCTTCCATGACGAATGTAAACGAGAAACAGAAAGAACTAAGGCAGCCCTTGGACATGTCTTATACTTGTTACTTCTTTTTCCTACCCACAAAGTGTATTATTTAAGGTTTCTAGGTAAAATTCCTCTGGCACAATATCAGTACAAAAATATTTTACACATTTCTCTCTGCGTTGTTGTACAATCTTATCAAAGTAACCAGTACACTACTAGATGAACACAGGCAACGCGCTGTGCCCTCCTTGTCTCGTGTTGTGTGTCTCGGGAATGTAAGGTTGGCGCTGGCTCTGCGCTGCCGGCGGACTCGAGATCCCGTCCGACCAGTCCGATGTAGCGGAGTGCGGGGACGAGCTGGACCACTGGTCTGGGGAGTCCGGGGAGGGGGTCAGGTAGTTTTCGGGGACGATAGTCTCAGCGTGGGAGAGATAGTGGGTGGGGGTGCACTCGTGGCTCTGTGGGTTCCCGTGCGAGTGCTGGGAGGGCGGGGTGGGCAGCTGCTCGGCAGGATTGTTGGAGGAGAACTGCTGAGCGCACGAGCCGGGCGGGAGCACAGTCTGGTGCGAGTGCGGCGGCAGCTCGCCCGGAGGGATGACGTTGAGTGGAATGCCCGGGTCGTGCATGCGCCCGCCGCCTCCCAGTGGGCTGCCTCCGTGCGCGTTGCCGTGTTGGTCGTGGTACATCCGGTGGTTGTTGTGGTGGTTGCTCTGATGCGCGAGCTGCTGCTGCTTCGCGTTGGACGACGAGAGAGCCTGGAAGGCGGCCATCTGGGCAGGCGAGCCGCCAGTGATGCTGCCGTGGCTGTGAGGAGGTGACAGGAGGCCGGACGGTGGGCTCTGGCTCTGCTGCGGCATGTGGTTCAGCCCAGCGTGCGTCATGTGCATCCGGGGCGAGAACTGGGTGTAGTGGTGGTTTCTTGAGTCCAGCGAAGCGAGCCAGTCGCTGGGCACGCTCACCGGAGGATCCAGGTGCAGACCCAACCCTGTCTCCCCTCCTCGCAGAGTAGACTGGTCCTGGTGGGAGTTGGAGTCGGCGGTGTGGTGGGAGAGGCGCGGCATGGGCTGACCGTTGGTGAAGCTGAAGCTGTTGACGATCTGTGGGGTACTGGTTGTGTGGGGGACCGTGTCCACCCCGTGTAGGTTGGGGTGAGACAACGCCAGGTGCTGGCTACCGACGCCGTACATGGAATTCGGCGGGGGAGTCTCCCCGGTGTTGTAGCCGTGCGGCGAACCGCCGAGAGAGCCGTCCGGAGAGAGCGCGGTGGAGTCCATGTGTCGCGGCATCGTCCCCGTGCCCTCAAGCTTCTTCTTCCGACGCATCTTGGAGGCGTCCGCGCGCGCAATCGTGTGGTGCTGCATCCCCTTGTTCGGTCTCTTCGGCTTGGCCCTCTGCTGCTTGGTGGTCGGCCCGTTCATGAAGTGGTGCCCTCCGAAGCTGTTCTGGCAGTTGGCTGCGGCCTGGGACGGGCTTCGAACCAGGTTGTACTCGTCCAGCAGCTTGACGATGTCGGAGTGCATGCGCTCCTGGGCGATGTCGCGCGGAAGCCTGTCCATGTGGTCAGTGATGTCGCGGTTGGCATAGTGGTCCAGGAGGATTTTGGCGGCCTGGAAGCTGCCTTCTCTGGCTGCCAGGAACAGTGGGGTCTCCTCCTACAAAAACAAATATTTTAGTTATTATCTTGCACACACGGTAATGCCTTTACTATCTTACTTAGCACCTAGACATAAATTTCAAATATACATGTATAACAAAACAGCATGCTTCCTGTCATGTAGGAATTGAGGTATTTGACTGTATAACTAAGCTAAAATTTGTCCAAGATTTGTTCAGGAGTCCTTCAAATTCAACATGACTAGTGTTACTTTGAAGTTGTATTTTTCTACAAAGTATACCAAATGCTTGTCCCATATCTTTCTTCAATTATCAGCAGAATTTTTAAGTACCCTAAAGAATTCAGTTTCTGACTTTCTGACATCTGGACTTTCTATTTGGATATTCAGAGCCTGGAAACTGGCAAAACTTGAAAATATGCCCCGTACCTTGTTATCCTGTACATCCTTGTTGACTCCGTGGCTCAGCAGGCTGATGACTGCTTCCTCATTGTTCGTGGCTGCAGCCCAGTGCAGAGCTGACTTGCCTGTAAATGTAAAAAATACAAACTTTAACATCCAGCCTATTACATGCAAAGTAGATCATTTAAAGAAGTACAGTGGTGGATAGTTCTGACATCAACAGGTTCACACAACTTTCTACAACTACAATTTCTATGTTGAAGCAAACATACTTCCTAACTGTGAATTAGTATCAAAAAAAGTGGAAGCCTACATCTCTGTTTCAGAAAAGGAAGGATTTGCAGTTAACAACACACACTTCTAGCCTCAGAAGCTTATTGGTTTCTTTCTTAGCTTACCAAAGAAACGTGGTAGTAGAGATGCACACTATAAAACTGTTGTAATTCTATATTTTGTACAACTGTGGCTTACCGTTGTCATCACAAGCGTTAGCATCTGCATGCGAGTCTCTTTTATACAGAAGCCCTTTCTTAACTTAACAAGTGAATAGCTGATCTAGTCATGATTCTGTTATAGACAACTGTGGCTTACTAAACTATAGGAGAGGGAGAGGGAGTGATGGTGAGTGTGGCTTACCGTTGTCATCACAAGCATTAGCATCAGCGTGTGAGTTGAGCAGTTCCTCCACCACTCCCTCCACAGCCAGACGGGCTGCCAGGATCAGGGGCGTAGTGCCATCGTTGGTCCGAGCGTCCAAGTCCGTCGCTCTGTTGCGCAAAAGGATCTATAACAAAAGGAAAATGTTTTTTTTTTGTTAACCAATAAGTTCTTTACACTCAAGAATACATGTGAAAATGGTAACGTTTTCTAAATCCTGACTCGAAAATCAAAAACAAAATCTCAAATAAGACCAATACCCAGTTATGAGGTATGCATTTCTAGTGATACACTCCTACATTACACAGCAAAGACTTTTTCTTTTTAAAAGAATCCCACAAAACAAAACAGAACAAGTGGTCAAAGTAACTGTTACTCAAGCCACAAGATTTTGAAATAGATTTCCAAACCTATCAAGTTGCTTGAGTAACTGCTACTTGAGTAACTGTAACTGTTATGACCTGGATATCTAACTTTCAGGAACAGTAAGTAGTAACAGTTAGTAACTAACCTGGAAAACTCCCTGTGCATCGGAGGCGATTGCAGCATGTAGTGGGGTCCTGCCGGTGTTGTCACGAGCGTTGGCGTCAGCTCCAGCATCCAGCAGTCGCTTGGCACGGTCTGCACGAGCGTAGCGGGCAGCAAGGTGCAGCGATGTCTCTCCTGAGAAACCATCAAACAAGAGATTTAATTTGTGAACTTCACATGTATACACTGCTTGGAATTTTCCTCTTTTTTTTTTGTTGAAAACCCAGAGCTGACAACAATCAAGGAGTATGACATAGGACTTTTAATTACCAATATACATTTCTTCTTCTTTTTACAGAAAATGTAAATTTATCTTTACTTTACCAAGTTCCAGCTCACTCTTCCTTTTATTGTGCACTGAATTCACCTCATCTGAGACCAGTTTCAATTTAGTTTAAATCTTACATGATTTTGACAAATCAAATTTGAGTATCCTTACAAATGTCCTGTGACGTTGAAATATCTCATTCTAGGACCCTACTTTTTCTGTGTACATCTAAGATAAAGTTTGCCAAGAGGAACAGATGTGAGTTCCTTACCAGTCCTGTCTGTCTGTGCATTGAAGGCACTCAGTCTAGGGTCCTTATTTTTCTGTGTAAATCTAAGATAAAACTATAGAGATACATGTGAAGTTCTTGTGTCCCTACCAGTCCTGTCCGTCTGTGCGTTGATGTTGGCCCCCTGCATGAGTAGATCAGTGATGACGTTAGCAGACTCGTCCTCTCCGTCCTCCTGGTGGTCCTCCACATACTCCAGACCTCCGCCTCGGAACGAAGCCAGCATCAGGGGCGTCAGGCCATCTGGGAACAGGGTAAATATGGAGTTAAGCATCTGAGAACACGGTAGACTTTGACCATCTCTAAACAAAACCTATTTGATGCTAACAACCAAAGCAATAAATGTTCACAAGGGCTCTACCACTAACATCCATCTAAATTAACTATATAACACAATCAAGGATTTGTGTGACAAAACTTTGAAATCTACTTTATTTCAAAGAATACATTTGCGCTATTGTGGATTATAATTTGACATTATCTGCTACTATTATCGACTCATATCATATGCAGGGGACACATTATTGTAGTGTCTGGGAGTACAACTTGTAAAGGTGTTAATATGCCAGTTTTGTCCTCCCTTCCACTTGTATACTTGTGGAGAATTCTACTTAACAAATACATGTACACAAAAATAAACTATTATGGTTTTACTCATGAGTCATAGGAAATTCAAACTCTACTACTGGATAAGTTATGGAGATAATTTTCAAACGAGTGACATCCACCACTCTTCTTCAGCGTCACTTAATTAACTAATAGAACTTGTTAACACGTATTATGGTTTTAGAGAAATGCTCACCAGGTCCTCTAACATTGACATCCACGGAGCACGGGTCTGCCTCCCCCTCTGTCTGTGGCGGTGTGAGTGCGACCTGAGCCAGGCAGGCGGGGTTACGGATGTCTGCTGCGTGTAGGTGCTGCTGGGTCCACTGCCGGTGGTCCGTGTCGTCGTAATCCGACAGGGTCTGGTCGGCGGTGGCGTCGCTGCCAGGTGTTGGCTGCTGGGTCTGAGGAGGACAATTTTTTTTTAATTTTTGATTTCAGGAGACAAAAACAACAAGGTTCCACTTTAGGTTGTCATTTTAGCAAAATATACAATAGGGATAGGAAAAACAACAGACGATGAAACAACTTCCCGTTCCAATTTCTTCTTACTTAACACATCTATGGCATTTAGAACTTCCAAACACAGAGAAAGCACACATTTTTTATTCTTGACCAAACAAACATCAACAGAAAAACTGGTTATATATCTAAAAGGGAACACCTCTCAATACATCATGTGTTGCATCTCGAATCAGCATTCTGCTACACATTTGATGAAGGTTTTTATAGTAGATTCACTAGATTGTTTAAATTTTTTCCCCACCTTCATTCGTTTGGCCTCCGGTGGCACCATGTCGTCTTCCCAGGCTGAAGAGTCGCGAACGGTTTCGTTATCGTTGTCGTCTACATTGGCAGCAGTTGCACCTTGTGGTGTGAAGCTCCTGAACACAAAAATAACACATGTTAGATTCATACAGTCACAAAACACACAAGTATATGTGTTAATTTTAGCTTTCGTGTGATATCATGACTTACCAAAAGTTACCAAGATGCCATGAGGGTCTCTTACTGTCTGTAGTTTAAAACCACCAGACATTTTTTGTTAACATTAAGTATGTATCATCAATTGTAAAATTGTAATACCTATTTTTGCGATATTTTTAATAACAACTTTTAATAGCATGTTGTTGTACGTAAATGTTGCCTTAATATGTTGACCACAGAGCAATTCAGGCAACCAGTAAGGTTGCCTGCAAGTCACTAGTCTTTTGAGAACTGTATATATACAGTAACAGCACAGAAAAGGTTACAGTGAAACAACCTAGGTTCTAATTCATGTTAAGGTCATTAAGAACTGAAGAACTATCACCAAACTCAGAGGAAGCACACAACATTAAGAATAAACTATTCATTTATCAAATGCAAATAATAAGAAAAAAGAAAGAAACTTACTTCATCCCGACCTCCTGACCGACCGGGTCCCTCCTGCGTGTGGACCTCCGTGCATCCTTCCTGCTCTCCTTGGTCAGCTTGAAGCCCTCGGGGTACCAGAGCTGTCCGCTCTCCCGTCGGCGCTTGGTGGTCATCAGCACGCCCAGGCCCACCATGACCAGTAGTATCCCCACCGCGGCCACCACCACGTACAGGGGGTTGAAGGTGGGCGTACTTGGAGGCTCTGGGTCATCTCCACCTGAAATATGACATACAGGTTAAGAAGTGGTCTCGCGAGACTAGGCTACTCCGTGGACAAGATGGACTGATAGTCATCGAAAATTTGGAGGTCAGTATCTTTAATATTATCCTTCAAACTTGTCACTGTTGGAAGAATCTTCTAGTAACTGTATTTATACGTGACAAATGAATTTCTTCAACGAGGTTAAGAAGCTGTTTGGAAAACTGGTCCAGGCTAGTCCTAACTACTAGGAAAATATTTCTGTGTCTTACAACACACTCAGCTCCATTCTACATAGGATTAACATGGAACAATTAGGGTTATGATACATAGCACATAATACATTGGTGATAGAAGGAGAGGGATGGGCTCCACCTTCCAATACCGTGCCCTAGACACAGTGGATTAACAACCCACTGCTCCTTTGGCCTCAGAAAAGCTATGACACTACCTTTACCTTTTCCTTTACATTACACAAGGACTGCAGTGTAGATGCAGTGATAAAGGAAAAACTGAGGATTAATAATGTTGCTAATTCAGGTCTACCATGCCATGTTGTTCTAGCTCTAATACAGAAGAATAAGCCCTTACTGTAGAGGGACTTGACTGGGTAGTTGAGCTGTGACAGTCCGTTGTGGAGGAACAGGGCAGCCAGGAAGTCTGCTGCCTCCTTCGCTGTTTCAAAACAGTCGTCGTGAACCCGGTAACATTTGCTGTTGTCCATCTCCAGGTACACTATGGAGCTGTGGAACAAGAGAACAGAAAACTTTAGTAAACTGTAGTACGTCTTGATGTTATACTGTCATATTTCGCATTGAAATTATAGTCCTAGGAACTAAACAGCTTTGAGTTTGAGCTATATCAAGAAATAGGCAAAATGCTCAATCATATTCATAATTGTCTTGTTGAAAATGAGGTATAGTTTTTAGTCTGTCTATTAGTTTTCAAATATTGTTCATGTGTTTTGAATAGCATAATGAGCATTCTGCCATAAAGGATAGGATCTTCACAGTAACGAAATGTGTAGTTTGGGCAGTGCAGACCTACACTGGACACAGATTTTGTTAATTTGAACCTTATTTACACGGTTAATGACAAAGTATTTTCATGGAGTTCTGAGGCCTTCAAACTTTTGTATTTTGAGTTATTTCTTCTATCTATATCTTGAAAACAGAACCTCCAACCTACCCTTGGACTTCAGACTCTGTAGCTCGCCTGTACCGGCCACTGAGAGCCCTGAACACTGAGCGGATCGCTCGCTTGCTGATGGTCTCATCCACCTCTTCACCGTACCATGGGTAAACCATCGGGTTTCCTTCATCATCCACCTTAAAGGACATGGAGCTTCTCAAGATGATGCCTGAGAACAAGACAGAAAAAAAACATGTAAGGAACTGCTCTCAAGACACTGAAGACAGTGTAAGGAACTGTTCTCAAATTGTAACAGTTTTTATGTCCTTCACAGCAAAAAAAAAAAGACATGTAAGGCATTGTTTCTAAGAAGTTAAAAACATGGAAGGAACTGTTCTGAAGAAGCTAAAAAGATACAAGAGACTGTTCTCTGGTTGAAACAGTTTTGATGTTCTTTACAGAGAAAACATGTGAAGAACTGTTTTCTCTCAAGATAAAAGACATTCCTCACACTATATACTAGTGGGAATCAAACCCTTGCCCACAGCATTTAATTCACATGGTGATGAAACAGCATTGTTACAGCAAGATTGCTATCAGAGTGACAAGTTGAGAGAAAGAGAGAGACTCACTTAACATCCTGAGGAAGGAGATGGAGTTGTTGAGCAGGACTTCAGGCGGAGCAGCTACGATCATCACCAGGTACCCCTTCGCCGTGACGGGCGGGTAATCCTCATCACAGTCCCCGCCGTCGTAGCCGCACTCTAGGTTGTTGCAGCCGCTGTCGCAGTTCCCGTCTCGGAAGAAGTTTCCGCAGTACGTGTCGTACACAGGGCTGCGGAGGAACAGAGGGTTTAGCAAACTTCTTAATACAAAATCTTCACAGAAAACACCAAGGTACTAGCCAGGACAACTGTACTCAGGACTGGGGAGGAACAGAGGTGGTTTAGCATCTGTGAACAGTTTCATCTGTATCTGTATAGCTGGTATAACTGCCCCTCGACATAACACTAGCTTAGTAGGCTAAGTAGCTTAGTGTAAATGTTGTTTGCTATCTCTAGTGATGATGCCCCTACTGTACTTGGTGGCACTGTGTACTAGGATAAAAATCTTCATCAGGTTTGCATAGAACAAAATAGCTTGTTCAGACTCAGTCACTTTTAACACTGCATTCTTCACCCTTCAGCAGTGACAATTACTTGTTAGCTGCAGTACAAAGTAGAGCCACTCAGTATTGCCCTGAGGAAGGTTGGCTAAGTGTTAACTCATCGGAAGTGTGCAGAAAACTTTGTTAAACCAGAAGATAGATTTTCATTTCACCTTAAGAACATTCAACTGCATGGCTTAAAATACAACCTGTATTTTCAGGTTAGTTAGCACAGGTAAGGTTTGAGCAAGTAACTAACTTTCAATGTACAAGACAGAGAGATATAAAATGCAACGGTTTCTTCCTGCAGTGAAAAAAAACAACAACGATGTAGATATTTCCCACACTTACTTGCACGTGGGATGAGGATTTTCCTCGCAGTCCCTTCCATCGTACAAACACTCCTCGTTGTTACACTGCTGGTCACAGTGTCCGTTGGAGAAGTAGTTCCAGCACTGGAGAGAGGAGGTGCAGTTGGCCCAGGGATTGTTTCCCAGGGCGCAGTCCGTACCATCCCAGTCACACTCGTGGATGTTACACTCCTCCTGCAGGGACAAACACACATCAACAGTGTTAACATCAATTCTGTAAACTTCACTTATGTTCAAGGGAGCTTTCATTTGCAGGAATCATTTCAGTTCAAATTCTTCATTTATTTTTATAATAAATAGCCAAAAAGTTAACATTCTTTACTAACTGAACTATGTTTATGAAGAAGCGCTTTAAAATTAATGTAAGGAGCATTACCACAAAGGGAGATAAAGACCAAATAAACAAATAAAAGCAAATAAAAGTGAAGACTTACGTCACACCGCCCATCTCTGGCCTTGCTGGCACAATGCTCGAAGGGACAACTTGGCTCTGCAAAACAACAAGATAACAGTCAACTTCCTACACCACAAAACATTAAACAACAAACCTGCTGGTTGAATACTACGAATTTTCAGAAAAGTTCAGAACAACCACAGACACTACTTCCAAGGAAGGGTGATTGTAAGAAAAACTTTGGACCCCCTTTTCATTTCATTTCAACCCAAGAAACTGTTCTTAGCAGCCACATTTCCATGACTAGTTGTACAATAACTACAGGAGTCTACAACAAGAATACTCACCTATATGTGGAGGAATCATGGTGACACCAGGACCAGGTGTAACATCAGGGATGTAGATCTCACACACGAGTCCGTTGTAATCCTCAGGACACATACAGCGGTAGGAGTCTATCCCTGTCTGCTGGCACTCCCCGTTGTTGTAACACGGTAAGCTAAAGCAGGGGTTACTCTCGTGGAACTGGCAGCTATCCCCAGCGTAGTTGCTTGGACAGGAACAGCGGAACTCGCCGTCAGTGTACAGGCACTGCCCGCGGTTCTTACACTCTCGGTCGCAGACTAGCTCGCAGTTGTCTCCGCCAAAACCCTGGAGAGGACGAGGGAAGATGTTGAAAGGGTTAGGAAGGTAGAAAGGTACATGTGTGGTGTGAAACTTACCATGGGTGTATCAGAATATAAGGAACTAGAGCTGCAATACATTTACAAGATTCCTACTCAAATCGTCAATGGCACAATGTTTTGCATTGAAACTTGTATCTATGATTGAATATTAAGTTAAGACTTTGATGTTGAACAGCATCTGGATGTTATCTTCATTTCTGTTATAATACATTTTTATCTTCTAAATATTTGGAAGTTTTTGGACTCTCTGTGTCATTTCATTTCAATCATAGCTTGCCCATTCATGGAGTTTCTTGGCCACTATCTCTTTTCGTTTCAAAGCATCAACATCCTTTTCTAAGTCAAAGCAAACAGAATTTCTTGATAGCAGTGTACTTACAGGTTGACAGTCACAGACATAGTTGTTCCCGCTCTGTGAGCACGCCCCTCCGTTCAGGCAGGGGTCCGACTCACACGAGTCCACGGTCCTCTCGCACCGCCCTCCGGTGTACCCCGGCTTGCAGTCGCAGCGATAGTCGTTCTCCAGCTGTACGCAGTCCTGGGTTCCCTCCGCGTCGCATGGGTTGGACAGACACTCGTTTACGTCACCCTCACAACGTGGGCCAACGTAACCCGGCCGACAGCGACAGGTGAATTCTCCGATCCCGTCAACGCAGGTTCCATCGTGGTAGCAGGCGCCAGCGAAGCAGTTGTCATTGTTGATCTCACAAAGAAGTCCTGTAGGAAGCAAGCAAGGGAAATAATGAGACACGAGGAGATAAGACACCGATGTCTGTCCTAAAGATTACCAAAGACAGCAAAGCAGAAGGCATGTATCCTATGCATCAAGGAATCCTCTCTTTCGACAGTTAAAAAATATATGAAAGAAGACCTACAATCTATTGCAATATATATTGCTTAGAAAGGCACATGGCACAGTTGCAGCTAGCTATATTACACCGAACGACCTGTTACGCCCAATGTTTAAAAATCTAACTGCAGGAGATGTTTAAAGCTTTCTAGTGATGGTGCCCAAGTTAAAACTATAACGATAAATCACTAATAGATATTTTTAAGGAAATAGCCTCTCCAACTCACCCTGAGTCCCTGGAGGACAGGAGCACCTGTACTCGTTCACCATGTCGATACACGTTCCCCCGTTCTGGCAGGGGTTAGAGATGCACTCATTTATCTCCTGTTCACAGTTCACGCCCTGGTACCCAGCCCTGCACACACAGCTGTACGTGCCCAGCCCGTCCCGACACTGCGCGCCGTTCTGGCATGGCGAGGACGCGCACTCGTCGATCTCCTCAGAGCAGTAGCTGCCGCGGTAGCCGGCGGGACAGTTGCAGTTGTGGCTGTTGCCGGTGTCGACGCAGCTGCCCCCGTTCTGGCACAACTCGCCCAGCAGAACGCCTGGGAAATAACAAAAGGTTCTCAGTATATAGTCAAAGATTCGTCAGAGGGATGACGGCTAAGACTATCAAATTACGGGCTTTGACTTTTTATTAGAAAATCTTCATCAGAAAGGACAGAATTGTACGGCACTTCCTTTTATACTCCCATCACAGTCAGGTCTGCCTGTTACTTGGCTTAGGGTATTTTAACGAGGTTTCAGTACATTTCAACTTTTGTTTCAAACTTGTAAAAAGATTTCAGAAGGCAGATTTCTAATTTCCAAAAGAATCCACACTTCATAATTCAAACTGGTGCTGTATACGTGTATTTGACTGTTCCCCATTAGTGAATTTTACAACTGAAAGATTTATTAGCAAGTTAGTCAAGAACTCCTTACCTCTCTCAGAAGCTGCGGCTGCACAGGACACTTTGGTCATGTCACAGATGAGTCCAGTCCACTCATCCTCACACAGACACTCATAACGATCGCCTGACTGGGTGCACGTTCCTCCGTTACGGCAGGGGTCCGATGCACACAGGTCCTTCTGGTTCTGTAAACACACAAGAATTTAGATGGTTAGAAAAAAAAAGAGCTTGAATTCTGGATCTCAAACAGGTAAACTGCCATATTATACATTGGACATGGAACACCATTTCAGTAATCAAAGCTGCACTTGTGAAATGAGAGTGAAAGATTTTATTTGTCTAACAAGACAAGACCGCATCAGAAGATTAAAAAACAGGAAGTTCTCCTGCAGTACAGACAACAACTGCTAGAGGGCATCGAATGATCTTCACCATCCAAAGTCCTAGTCACAGACAAAATTTCATCACAATCCATGGCATCTAAAAGTTCTTGCTGGCGAAAGTAACAAGAAACACATTTGACAAACAAACCAAAAACTATATGTTTCATTACAAGAGAAGAAAGACTTTCATGAAAGTGCATATGTGTTGGTAGTTACATGTTCAGAGTTTAAACTTTAGATCCAACATAAGCCTCACCGGGTCAGTCTACTGAGGAAGACAAGAGTGACTGGTCGAAAGCTCTAGGTGAGAGAATTATTGTGTTGGATCTAAAGTTTTAACTCTTAACACAAGAAAGACTTGTACATACCTGGCATGTGACCCCCTCGTATCCGTATGTACAGATACAGGAGAAGTACCCAGTCTGGTCCACACACGTCGCCCCGTTCTGACAGGGGTGGGACTCACACTCGTTGATCTCATGCTGGCAGTTGGAGCCGGTGAAGCCGGGCGGACACTGGCAGGTGAAGGTGTTGATGCCGTCGATACAGGTTCCACCGCTAAAGCAGGAGCTGTGATGGGGATACACAAAGTATGAATTGATGTTTTTCTTAGTGTTATGAACTTATGATCTTGATGCTATCGAGAAAGATTCCACCACTTCCAGAAAAGAGCCCAGACAAGAGCTGTGACAGAGATACACAAAGTTTGAATTAATGTTTTTCTTAGTGTGAAGGTGTTGACGCCATTGATAGAGGGTGCCACTGCTAAAGCAGGAGCTGTGACAAGGATGTACAAGAAAAAAATCACATTTTTCTTAAACTACAGAGTTTAACATAACTCAGTAAAAAGTGAACACCTGCCACTTGAAAAGATGCAGGGAAAATACAAAGTATGAATTAATGTTTTTCTTAGAGTTTCTCCTGACAAAAAATGACTGTCCCTCTGTAGCCCAGAAAGAAGATAAATAAATACTGAAATTTGGAAAGATGCAGAGAATTTGGAGACTTCTACGAATGACTGAATGCAAATACCTCTAAACACTACACAAAGATATAAATGAAATAATAAGAAAATTGCTCTGTTAAGTGACTATGTAAAATTTAACATCAGCAACTACATCAGTAAGTGGCTTTCCATATCTAAAGTGGTAAGCACTACACAATAATGATTGTGTGCGGATTACCACCTGTTATCTATGGTATAGTAATCAACTCAATCAAATTCACTTAAGGAAGTATTTGTTGTTGAAAGCATACATGAACACTGCAACTAAATGTGTTATAAGTACGACTTAGTTCTCATCCCCTTTCTCATGGTGCTAAACGCTTCACCATCTGTGGATTCAAGCAGCATCTCTCAAATTATGTAGGAGAATGCCGCGAATTCCGACAGCGCCATACAGGGTTCTCATCAAGATTTCTTCATATGGGTCAGGTACAGATGGGCAACTTTCTGCATTATAAGTTTAATTTTTAGGTAAACTTTATGTAGGTTCTCCTCCCAAAAAAACACCCCTACGCTGTGTAGGGGGATAAATCACAACGTAGGGGATCCAAATCACAACATAGAGGACCCTATGCTTACATAGTCTAGTGAGAACTATGCCATACCTCGAGGTACAGTCATCCTTGTTGGTCTGACAGTTGGTTCCAATGAATCCCAGCACACAGTCACAGGCATAACCGTTCACCGCGTCTATACACTGTCCTCCGTTCTGGCACGGGTTCGAGTAGCATTCGTCGATGTCTTCCTCACAATTCGTGCCTCCGAAGCCAGGCATACAGGAGCAGGTGTAGCTGTTGATGCCGTCGTTACAGGTTCCACCATTATGGCAAGGATCTGGACAAAAAGAAACAACAAAAAAAACATGAACATGTGTACAACTTAGCATGAAAGTTCATCTCTGTGTTGGTACAAGTCATTATGTAAGACACAAGACTAAACTTTCCTCCCAACACTGAATGACGTGTGTACATTGTTGTTATTCACAATTTTTTTTTTAGTGAAAATGCCCTCGGTTCAAACAAAACATGAATGTGTGTAAAATAAAATGTTATTCGCAATAGTGAAAATGTCCTTGGTTCAAACAAAACATGAGCATGGGTAAAATGTTATCAATGACGGTGAAAATGTTTTTAGTTCCGGCTTCTTTTCTAATTAAAAGTTGCACAGAGCATCTGTTTGGGAAAGGCCTGTCACGCATAGTCAGAATAACTGCCATACTTCTACACACACTTCAAAGGAACACAAATTTGTACCTGTCAAGTCAAATCAGGACTGCCTTAACTTTACCAGCAGGCCTTCGTAAACAAGATGCATTTTCATACCCATCTATTTGACAACAGGTATGATTGTTGGCGAGTGAAGATTTGAGAAGTGGTTTCGCACTGGTGACTTAACTGAACAAGATGCATTTTCATACCCAGAACTGCTAGCATGTTTCTCATACTCCAGTCTGAATTGTTTTAAAGTTATGCAGCTTTACAATAGTTTACTAGAAGTGAGCAGGTAACTAACATCTATTTGACAACAGGTATGATTGTTGGCAAGTGAAGATTTGAGAAGTGGTTTCGCACTTGTGAGTTTACAAGATGCATATTCATACCCAGAACAGTTAGCATGTTTCTCATACTTCAGTCTGAATTGTTATAACGTTATGCAGCTTTACAATAATTTTATAGAAGTGGGCAGGTAACATATACTTTGACAACAGGTATGACTGTTGGCAAGTGAAGATTTGCGAAGTGGTTTCGCACTAGTGAGTTTACTAAACAAGATGCATATTCATACCCAGCACAGTTAGCATGTTTCTCATACTCCAGTCTGAATTGTTATAAGGTTATATGCAGCTTTAATAGTTTTACACAAGTGGACAGGTAACGTTTACTTTAACAACAGGTATGATTGTTGGCAAGTGAAGATTTGGGAAGTGGTTTTGCACTAGTGAGTTTACAGATACATATTCATACCCAGAACAGTTAGCATGTTTCCCATACACCAGTCTGAATTGTTTTAAGGTTCTGCAGCTTTAAAATAGTTGGCAGGTAAGTAACATCTATTTGACAACAGGTATGATTGTTGGCAAGTGAAGATTTGGGAAGTGGTTTCGCACTGGTGGCTTTACTGAGTCAGAATGTGGCGTTCTCACACTGTATTGTGTGGTAGTGAGGCGTTAATTTCAGCTGTGAGAGGTTGTGAGACGGGGGTCGTCGGCAGTTTGGAAGTTATTTAGGAGAAATGACCCGTGCGTCCGCCCTGCGCGACGCGCGCCAGGCCTTTAGTGCGGCACGGAATGGCCGGCATTTTCCAGTTATAGCGACAAAAGCGCGCCACCAAAATCCCCCTCGTGCCAATTCCATAGAAAGTGTGACAGTGAGCGATAGATTTAACCAATCTTTGTGGCTGTTAATTCCCGAAATATCTGCTGACGGCCGGTAAAGGGCAATCCTGGGGTCGTACTTGGGCCAAATAGTCCTCATATGGGACATCCCTGCCGCGATACATACCATTTCCTTTCCTAACAACCCATCCCAAGTTTGGGAGCATCACAAGTCATAGGTAAAGTGCCATTGTGGTCAGCATTTTGAGCCAAACATTTTTTTTGTGGCAAAAGATAGCACAAGATTAAATCTCCTGGCAAAAGTTGTGTGCAGAAGATACTACAAGGTAGGATAGGAGCCCTGAGTTCAGAAGTATGCAGGCCAAAAACACTGCAGAAAACTTCCTTTTAAATTCCAGTGAAAATACATGACTTTACAGCAACATCTTTAAATTTCTCCCTGCTGCTTGACCCCATATCCAATACAAATTGGAGCCAAACAGCTACCTTAGCAGACTGAAGGTTAAGAAAGAAGCATAAAGATAAACTTCAAGGTCTGACAGGTGTCTTTACAGCAACATCTTTAACCTTCTTCCTGCTGCCTAACCCATAACCAATACAAATTTGGTGCTAAACAGCTACCTTTAGCAGTTGATGGTTAAGAAAGAAGCATAAACTTCAAGGTCTTACAGGTGTCTTTACAGCAACATTTTGAACCTTCTTCCTGCTGCCTTAAGTCTTAACCCTTTAACCAATAAAAACTTGCTGCCAAAGAGCTACCTTAGGAATCTGAAGGATTAAAAGTAAGTGAAAACTTACCAGGATCGCAGTCGTCTATGTTGACAGAGCAGAGTTCTCCGCTGAATCCGGTGAGACAGTCACAGCGGAAGTCTCCCTCCAGGTTGATACAGGGCGCTCCGTTCTTACACGGGTTGGACTGGCACTCGTTTATGTCGTCAGCACATGTTTCACCTGTACGGACACAGGACACAAACAATTAGAACTTCCACTTGTACTTTCAACAGATTCTCACAGGTTTTTCATACAACAAGAATACGGAAAAATTGACAATTCCTTGCAATTCATTTAAAAAAACAGGTTATCATAAAGAGATAACAGATCAAACAATAACTTAAACTGTGTTCAAAATGAAATGTATTTGAATGATATACAAAAGATTTCCAGTGCTTCTTTTGGAACAGAGGTACACCAATTTTCATAGCTTGCAAATCGACTACAAAGTCATACCAAAAGGAAGACAACAAGAGATAAAATCTTTAAAATCCTTGCAGGGAATGTAAGCCAAACAAGACCAGCTAGTTGGTTTACCTTCAAATCCTTCCGCACAGTCGCAAGTGAAGGTCTGGTAGTCGGCAGAGGGAATGCAGGAGCCTGAGTTTGCGCAGGGGTTGGGGTTGCACGGCGCCAGTTCTATCTGGCAGTTTATTCCCACGAAGGGAAGCTCACAGTGACACTGGTAGTTGTTGACTCCGTCCAAACACTGTCCACCGTTCTGACAAGGGTTGCTGCCGCACTCGTCTGTGTTGATCTGGCAGTTCACACCTAGAAAGACAAATTGTAGCACGCTTTTAGTACAGTAAAAAAACTTCATTTTGTCAGCCAGAGACATTTTTGGCCCTAGCATCTTGGATACTGCTTTGGATACTTGCAAACTGGTAAACTTTCATGTTGTCCATGTCAACACATACTCAACTGGTGCAAGTGCATCCACATTTAAGTTGTTGTTGGTTCACAATTTGGGGCAAAACTTGCCTATTTAAAAGAATGACAAGTTTCAGGGCTCCAGATCTTCTTTGTACTATCTGAGCCAACAAGAAACCTTTGGATGAGCTAAATAGCTAACAACAAACATATACATTTTGACAATTTCTTACACTTAAAAAGAGCACACAGAATACAACACAAACAATATCCTGAAGCACAAATTACCTTCGTATCCAGGGAGGCACTGGCATTCGTACCTCCCGATGCCATCATCACACTGCCCCTCATGTTGGCAGGGGTTAGATGCACACTCGTCTATGTTCACATCACAGTTCTTCCCTTCATAGCCGGTCTCACACGTACAGGTGTAGTCATTGATGCCATCCTGAAGATAAAGGAAGAAATAGAAGATGTTAACATCTTCTTTCTTCAAGCACAGAGGGTTTTATGTCTGATACTTCGGTGATTGTCTGTCACCTTCTTTGGGGCAACAATTACTGGTTCTGATGTATACTGAAGCTAGGTGTCGCTGTAAAAACACATTGGTTGCTGTCTATACAACATTCTTAAACAGTCTCTTGCCAAACTGATGAAATCATTCACGGAGGAAAAGCATTCATCGCAAAAGCATGATATCAGCTACATATAGCGTTGAGAAGCAGAACTCCAGTCAGAAGCTCTGACGAAGGTGTCTGACAGACACCGAAACATAAGCAAGGTAAGACAAGATTCGCTGTGTAAAAGAAAACCAATATACCCAGGACTATCTTTACTTTTTTTTACAATTTGACTCGTCATGTATGTAGAAAAAAATCCTATCCTACCTGGCATGTGCCATGTTCACATGGACTGCTCTCACACTCGTTAACGTTGGAGTAACAGAGCAGATCGTGATAGCCGGGCGGACACTCGCAGCTGAAGGCATTCACCAGGTCATGGCAGATCCCACCGTTGTGGCAGGGGGACGACGCACACTCGTCAATCTCACTTTCACAGTTCTCACCTGGAAAAGATGTTTTATGTGTCAATGTATTGATCTAAAAAAGATTGTTTTGTATGTCAATGTAGGGAGACCACTGGGTCAGAAAGCAACTGGAATTTTTAGGAATTTGCTTTGTCGGCATGCTTTAGGTAGCCTTTTTGTATGGTTTATGGTATTGAGCAGCATGAAGAACCTAAATCACCTAAAGTAGAACACAATCTAGCTACAGACTCTGGGAATCTGTTGTTTTTAATATAAGCATCTCTATAAGGCCTAACAAAATAAATGTTGTGTTTCCTATTACAGTCCAGAAAAAATTAGGGTCGGTAGGTAGGGATTCTTACTTTTTTTTTTTTTTTTTTTTAGTCAAAGTCGGGACAATGAACGTATGATCTGTGGCGGGAGGAGGTCTGGAGGGGGGGAAGCTATTGCATTTTGTCTTTTCCAAACACAAATGGAGGTCATTTCCTGCAACTTCAGTTCTACATTTTCTGTACAACTGCAGATGTATAAGGCAGTAGAAAGGTTCAAGATCTGTACTTAATTATCCTCATGTTCAAAAAAATTCTACCCTTAATTTTGAAAAAATTGGGCATAGGTTCCCCGGATGACCCCTAACCGGGGGCCAACGGTGCTTCCACAAGTTCAATAAGTGAAAAATACATGATACAAAATGTACATGTATTTACTACCTGGAACTTGGAGCAATTTATTCCAAAGATGTCAACTGACATTAATATATTAAAAACTAAACCAAATCCTATTTCTCAAACAAATCACATATTGACACAGCTGAACAAATAAAAATGTGATCATGTTTATAAACTCCACTCAAAAACAATTTTTGAGAGACACTCGGGTCACGGTACTAAGCGTGATAATCTCTAATATCTCATCTGATTCTCCCAATATGTAAAGGGTCTTTACAATGACAGCATCCAACCGCACATACATAGAAACAACAATATTACACAAGAAACCAATTAATTCGGAAAATTTCTCAGTAATGTTTGAAAATTAACCTTACTAAAATATAACTGAATTTTTATTTCAGTTGTAGCCGAAAAAATATTTTTCATGCGTTTAAAGTATCGTTTTAGCACTGTAATATGTACTTATTACATGTATCTATACATTTGGATGCTATCCTGACCTTTGACCATTGTTATTGTGAAAACAGGTCGGCCATGTTGTCTTTCTCGCCGTGAATTTTCGAGCCGTTTTTTCGAGCAAATTTCAACCGTTTTAAACATTTTACGGCCTCAAAAACTCATATAACGAGGAAAACAAGTTGTAGTTGTTATTTTCATGCGTAACATTTCTGGGGATGGATTATTTTTCCGTCGAGCTGCCGAAAACTTAGCGCCATGCCGCAACCATGCGATCGGGCGCGGCCGACCGGCGGGAGTTTTACTTTGTATCGGTGAGCTTTCGCGATGTAAACAAAGACAGTCGGAGTTGTTTACATGAACATTTTGTTGTGAAACGCCAGCGGGGTGTCAGATTTTCTACCAATGACAACGTTTTCTTTGTGGCGTCATGGCGAGATCGACAATTCATCGTCAATTCACAGGATTGTGCCGACAATGGAATTGAATAGCGGCCCGATCCGTGCAATTAGCGCTCGATCCACGCCGCCCGACCGAAGAAAATTGGAATGACAAGCACATTTATCGGGGATAAAATCCCCAATTTTGAAAACCGACCGCTAGCCGCTCGAAATTTTTGGTCGGCCCAAAAAAGGCTAGGGTCGGGGGGTTTTTCATAGGGTCGGTCGGGTAACCGGAAACACAACATTTTTTTTCCTAGGCCTAACTAAAAAAAATTTCACACTTTCATATACATACGATAATAATACTACGAGCTTTTCATAATGTTAGCCATAAATAAAGTCAACTTGGGATATCTTGTAACTACAACTATAGGACAGTTTCTCACCTTCGTATCCCCCGTCACACATGCATGTGTAGGTGTTGAGGCCGTCCTGACACACGCCGTGTACACAAAGGTTACCTGTGCAGTCATCCTGGTTCACTTCACAGTTGTCTCCTGTACATAGGGAGGGAAAAATCAGTCAGAGGGCTTCTTCTTACTATTTACAATCTAACATCATTTTAGAAATAGACCAGGAAGAGTTGGGAGGGTGCAGGGAAAGAATATATAAGATTAGGAACAACTTTTTAAGTCTCTATACAATCAAAAATGCCCAAGAAGACCAATCTGGATTAAAATTTTGTGTCTATGTGGATGTATAACCAGTTACATTGTCTGGCTTTCCATGTGGTAATATTTAAACTTTGCACAACAAAGTTCTCTTTTTATGCCATGATGGTATGACCACGCAAGCACTCGAACTCACCTGACGTTCCAGGCAGGCAGTTACAGCGATATCCATTGACAAGATCCTCACACGTGCCACCGTTTTGACAGGGATCGCTGTCACACTCGTCAACTGGGGACTCGCACAGGGGGCCGTTATAACCAGGCTCGCACGAACACGTAAACGAAGCCACTTCATCCACACAGGTACCGTGCTGGCACTGGTTCGACTGGCAGTCGTCAATGTTAATCTCACAGTCTGTGCCAGTGAACCCTTCCAAACAGGTGCAGGTGTACGCGGTTACTAAGTCTGTGCAGTGAGCGCCATTACGACAAGGCCCGCTCGCACACTCGTTGATGTTGACTTCGCAGGTCGTGCCTTCGTAGCCGGGGTCACACTCGCACTCGTACTTGTTGATTCCGTCGCGGCAGATCCCGTTCAGACACGGGGAGCTCGCGCACTCGTCGACGTCGGTCTCGCAGAGATCCCCGGCGAATCCCGGCATGCAGGCGCACCGGAACTCTCCAATATCGTCGATGCAAGTGCCCTGGTTTTGACACGGATTCGAAGCGCACTCGTTGATGTTCACCTCGCAACGGTCGCCGGTAAACCCGTCCGTACACGTACAGGTGAAGGAACCGGGGACGTTGTTGCATTCTCCGTCGTGTTCGCAGGGGTTCTCGCCCAGAGAACATTCGTCGATGTCCTGCATACAGAGCTGGCCCGCGTAGCCGTCGGGACAGGTACAGATGGGCTGGCCGTTGACGGGGTTGGTGTCGCAGATGGCACCCTCGTTACAGGGGCTACTCTCACAAGCATCGTCAAGGTGGCACAAAAGACCTGGAGAAAAAGATTAACAACATCCATTTAATTCACTTTCATCCATACATGGAGAATAACTCAAGACTGCCTGATATGAGGATTTTCTTCTTACACAACCAGTAGCGTTTTGTCCTACATTATACCATATCCTACTAACCTGATGAAATTATTTTTGAAACTGTCAGTGAAATCTACACCACAATTTCCACTCCCATTTTACAGAGTAAATGTTCCAAAGAAGTCTTCTAGGGACAACAAAACCTACACACTTTTTTCTACAGCCAAGACATGCTTATACACAAAAACTCAGTGGGGTCGTGTGGCATGACTGCTCAACTCAGAACCAAGAGATCCCAGGTTTGAGTCCTGACATGCCACCGATCTTGTGCCATTGGGTAAAGCACTTTACACAACTTTCCTCACTTAAATGAATATTGTCTTGTCCTGTATTTATCCTCTGCATTGGTGTTGTGAATTATTGGAATTTAAAAACAACTTACCAGTTTTCCCAGGTGCGCACTCGCACATAAAGAATCCAACACGGTCGTGACAGGTAGCTCCGTGGAAGCACGCCGCCGTGGCGCAGTCATCAAAGTTCTCGCTACAATCGTCGCCGATCCACCCGTTTACACAGACACAGCTGTAACCCCCCACCGTGTTGTGGCACGTTCCGCTGTTCAAGCAGATGTTGGGAGACTGCATACACTCGTCCACATCCTCATTACAGTATCGACCTGGATATTGGGAAACAAATTTACATTTTTTCAACTCTACAAAATTTAAAATATGTGCTTTACAATAAGTAGAAAACTATTGCTCTATATATCACTTGAATGCAAAGGAATTGAATTGAATCATAAGTGTACAAGAAACATAGTCTTTCAACAGCTAAAGCTCTGCAGAACACTGAAGAAAAGTATTCATTTCTACCACTGCACTGTGACATGCTTGGATGGTTCTTAACTTACTTTGATTGTCCCCTGGCTTATGACTGCCACTTGACCAGGGCCAGCACTCAGAGGAGCACATATGACAGGAGGGAGAATTGGCCAATAACTTTGCCCTGACCCCGGCACAATGAGGTCAACTTCTGAACTGAATGGCCCCTGCCTCCCATAACAAGGAGATATGGGCTGCATTTTCACAAATAACTGTCAAAGGCGAGAAAAGTCATTTTTGACTTATGGTCTCTAAAGGCTATGCTAACTTGGATTTTTGGAACTGTTATCCTCAAAATGTTTTCTTTTACTTTTTATCTGTCAGTTAGAAGCATGCATAGGTTCAGCTTAAGTAAGAAGATTTTATGAGAAGAATCTGACAGTTTTAGTTTACAAGATAGACACGCATTTTCTTGAAAGTTTAGAGTTAACAGTTTTCTTGAAAGTAGTCAGGTATGAATACATGACTACCTTTTTTGCTGGCTTTTTCTAAAAATACTGAGATCAGTCCGCAATTTTTTTTTTCAGTGGACAGAATTTTCTCCTACTTTTGATCATCACATATTGCTACATCATTTTGACATTTAAACATACCTCAAAGAAAAAGACAGCAGTTCCACATAAAGAAAGCTACTCAAAGTCAAAAACTTTGCAGTGCAGCATTTTCCCTCATCAGTAAGGATTAACAAATGACCCCCTGCCTGCCCCAGGTCTGTCCCATGTAGCCAGGACCTGCCAGGAGGTGATGAATGCATCACACCTGTTCAGGAGCACAGCCATGAACCTTCCCTACAAGGGTTAAGTCCCCCGGCAACACACAGTCACCCTCTCAGGCCATTATTTTCCCCACCCTGTCACAGCCAGGGCTGCTCAAATTGAATCTGATGCCTTTCCTACAGAGCAATTTGGCTGTGGCTGGGCCTAGGAAAAAGAAAGTTGTGTTTCCTGTTTCAGTCCTGAAAAAATTAGGGTCGGTACTAGGGAAGTCCCCCGGCAACACACAGTCACCCTCTCAGGCCATTATTTTCCCCACCCTGTCACAGCCAGGGCTGCTCAAATTGAATCTGATGCCTTTCCTACAGAGCAATTTGGCCGGGAGGAGGCGTAGGAAAAAAATGTTGTGTTTCCTGTTTCAGTCCTGAAAAAATTAGGTCAGTAGGAAGGGATTCTCTTTTTTTCCTCTATTAACGGGGCCTAGAAAAAAAAATGTTGTGTTTCCTGTTTCTAGTCCTGAAAAAATTAGGGTCGGTAGGAAGGGACTCACTTTTTCCCCTCTATTAAATGGGTCTAGGAAAAAAATGTTGTGTTTCCTGTGTTAGTTCTGAAAAAATTAGGGTCAGTAGGGATTCTTTTTTTTTGACCATGGCGACCTCTCTATATATATGTAGCTAGTGATCCAACTTATACACTACAGTTTAACAAAGCAAAACTTGTAACGATGACACTTATATTTTCAATATCAATGTTGAAACACTAATTGTACAACGTTTCTTCACTCAGGTGTCAGATCATGGAGCTAGAAAAGATTGACCAGCTCAAAAAAATACGTCCCTTGCTGGGGTTCGTCCAAAAAAAGGCTAGGGTCTTCAGGTTTTTCTAGGGCCGGCAGGTTTTTCTACGGTCGGCAGGTTTTTCTAGGGTCGGTCGGGAAACAGGAAACACGACATTTTTTCCTAGGCCCTGGCACTGGAAGCACTTCCCGTGAAGGGAGGTCGGGGACAATTTCAACCCGGGGCAGCGCAACACTTTCAACAACGACCCGACTACAGGAACTGGTCGGCTCATAACTTCTGCTAATGGCTCCCCAGGGGAGGGTTTGCATAATTGGAGCCGTTTCGAAGTTCCAGTGGTCTGCGTTGATGCCTGGTCACCTGAATGGTGCCTGATGGCATGCCTGGATGACAGTTTGGCTGTGCATCTAGCCACACTGGCTAACATATTTGGTGTTTTGGGCAATACTTGTGAGCCATGGAGGTACATTTCGAACTTCCAGTGTTCTGAGTTGATGCCTGGTCACCTGAATGGTGCCTGGTGGCATGCCTGGATGTCACGTTTGCTGTTAATACGTTAGCCAGCGACATTTTTGGTGTTTCAGGCAATACTTGTGAGCCATGCAGGTACATTTCGAAGTTCCAGTGTTCTGCGTTGATGCCTGGTCACCTGAATGGTGCCTGATTACAGTCAAAGCAGAGGTCTGGGTTTTGGGCGTGTTTTTAGACTTTTTTATTGTGGTTTCTTTTTTGCACTGGAATCTTTGGGTTGGTTGAAAGAAAAATTTCAGTGCAAAAAAAGAAACCCCGATAAAGAAGTCTAGAATATGCCAAAAATAAGCCAAAACCCAGACCTCTGCTTGGAGAGTAGTTCCTGATGGCATGCCTGGATGTCACGTTGGTTCTGCATATGTTAGCCAGCGACATTTTTGGTGTTTCAGGCAATACTTGTGAGCCATGGAGGTACATTTCGAAGTTCCAGTATTCTGCGTTGATGCCTGGTCACCTGAATGGTGCCTAATGGCTCTCCAAGCAGAGGTCTGGGTTTTGGGTTGTTTTTGGCGTGTTTTTAGACTTTTTTATTGGGGTTTCTTTTTTGCACTGGAATTTTTGGGTTGGGTGAAAGAAAAATTTCGGTGCAAAAAAGAAACCCTGACAAAGAAGTCTAAAATATGCCAAAAATAAGCCAAAACCCAAACCTCTGCTTGGAGAGTAGTTCCTGATGGCATGCCTGGATGTCATGTTGGCTGTGCATACGTTAGCCAGCGACATTTTTGGTGTTTCGGGCAATACTTATGAGCCATGGACGACAGCATACAGCTGTTGGGCTGACAGCAAGAATTTCCAAACAATCTCCAACTGCCTATTGTTGCTGTCAACAACTTGTAAATTTTCTTTTAAAAGTTATAGAGGATTTTCATGCTTGTTATATGTGAAAACTGCAGTTTAAAAGGAAGCAGATAGGGGGAGAACAATGACATTTCCCTACAGCCCCTGTTCATACCAAAAATCTAACTTTTTTGTGTTTTCAAATTTGTGCTATAAAACTTAAAAGTAGTTGAGATAGTTCTTGTTTTGTTATCCTCAACAATGGTGAAGCATGATGTTTTTTCCAGCAGCTATTGAGATACAACCTTCTACTAAAAGTTGACAATAAAGAAATGAAGAAAGACTGTTTCCTTACCTTGCCACTCACTGGGACATGTGCAGGTGTACTCGTTCACCCCGTCCACACAAGCTGCCCCGTTTTCACACAGATGGTCCACACAGTCGTCTACGTTTACCTCACAGTCATCACCGGTAAAACCTGAACAGAAAACAACAGGTTATAAGTACTTAGCATGAAAGTTCATCTGTGTTGGTACAAGTCATTATGAAATAAACACTTTTTGGGGGGGTAAGTGCCAATTCATTGTAGTGCTGGCAAAGAAAGTTAAGTCTTTATTCCATTAAGGTTATACGTACAATACACAGAACAGCAACAAAAATCTTCAGTCAATCACTATAACTTTCAGACGTTAATAAATTGTCACACATGTTGAGTGCTCACCCATCCAAAGCACTTTCTTTTATTACATCAAAGTCTATTACATCAAAGGCAAGAATAAAATGTGCAATCATAAACAGTAACAACTGCTTTTAGTGGCAAAATTTCATGCGCTTGCTACCTTAACCTTCTGCCCGCTACAGTATCAGATACCAAAATTGGACTGGTTATACAATAATGCAACAGGGAAAAAGGTATTACAACTGTACAACAACTTTTTCGAGACCGACACTGCTCTAAATTTCTCCACAATTCATCGTTGTACAAAGCGGCAAGGACTTTCAGATAGAAATCAATACGTAAGCATCGCTCTACCATGTAGTAATTGGTACTGCAGACAAGTATCTCTGTCTGTGACAATTCAGAAGACAGTTCTTCAATTTGTAGTGTCTAATGGGGCTAGAGTGGTCCTAATAGGGCCTCCCTTCAACTATGTGACCTCGGGGATGACCCTATGATAAGAATTTATTGGATGACAAAACAGATAGCTATATATTCCCGACATTCCACAGAAGCGAAGATACAGAGAATGCAGTTGATGTAAACATATACAGGACTCGTTTTTGTCATGTGATTTCGAGAAGGAATAATGTGTATTTGGCCTATCTTGATTGACTATATATCGATCATTCAATTTGGTGAACACTGTTACTGAGATTGACAAGTTGTTCAGTTTACGATGACATGAACCATTCCTATGTGACCAGGGGAGTGTCTAGAAAGGTTTAGGAAAACTCAGCGTCAGTTTCAAAGAAAGTAAAATAAAGCACAAGAAATTTGACAGAGAATACTATGTAGTAACAAAAAAAAAATTTTCTGAACAAAATATATTTCAAATATATTTATTTCCATGGAAATTTTCCAAAAAGCGAATCAAAAAGGCATAGTGGTTCGTCCCTGAATAAGTGCTTTGCAAATAAGAAGTGGCTGTTTTCACTTTACATCAAATCAGTCGTCTATTCCCCAGGTTTAGCGTTGTTTGAGCCAAGTTAAGTTCTCTCAGGAATGTTCAGGTGTCGAAGTTGGACATTCTGGAATGTTGGCGGCACGAGAGGACTGCCAACGGACTTGGCAAAATGGGACTACTTTCCAAAAGTGGAACGTGGTCTAGTCTCTTCAGGAAAATCAGTGCATACCAATGTCACTTTATGCCCATTTGTTCTTGACTTTTTGCATAGTAAGATTGGGGAAAGTGAATTAACAGTTCAGATCGGACCAATATCTGTCCTTTTTTTTTTTACACACCCAGTGCTTTTCTCCCCTTGGTACGTTTTGATGTGATTGTTTATCAGACAGCACTTTTGGCTGGAGTACTGCTTCTCACCGCAAGTATCAGCAAGAAGCAGTACTCCAGTCAGAAGCTCTGAGGAAGGTGTCTGACAGACATAGAAACGTAAGCAGGTGAGAGAAGTACTGGTTATGTATAAGAAAGTGAAGTACTGGTTGTGTATAAGAAAGTGCACTGATTTTGCCTAAGGGACTAGACCACATTCCACTCTTGGAAAAGAGTTATGCTATGTATGAAAAGACCCAATATCCTATGCTCTATGTTCTTCTATGTGCTACGTTTTTCGGAAGACTCCACCCACCTGACATGCAGTGGCACGTGTACTCGTACGTGTCCACGGACTCGCAGGTGCCTCCGTGTTGGCATGGCGATGGAGAACACGGGATGTACTCCTCCTCGCACAGACGCCCTGTACGCTCCTTGGGACACGTGCAGGTGAAGGAACCCATGGTGTTCTGGCACTGTCCTCCACTCTGACACGGGTTCGTACCTATAAATAATTATAAATAATGTAACACAATTCAAATGACAGAGCTCAAAATTCATTTTTGGAAATAGGTGATCTGGTGCAAACAACCTAAAAAATTGGGTACACAAAAAAACTTTTGGGTGCACCATATAAAATCTTACTGCTCCTCTTGAATTTGAATTGAAATGGGAGCTAACTTAAAACTATTAAACAAGTACTACAGCAAAGATTTTAGTATATTTCTGACACTTAGATGCAAAGCATATCCTGTATGCTGTACATTCAATATATACAAAAATGCCTACAAAAATATTTGGGTCCACAAGTGTACCCACAGAAAAGCTATGGGTGCACAGCTCCAATTTTGGGTGTACTAAGGTGCACAGCACCCGGTATTTCCAGCCTTGATAAACCATTCGTACCTGCACACTCGTCGATGTCTGTCTGGCAGGTGCTCCCCTCGAATCCGCCCAGACACGCACAGGTGTAGCCACTCTCGGTGGAGGTGCAGGTGCCCCCGTTCTTACACGGCTGGCTGTAGCAATGCTCCACCACGTCACACGTGTCACCTGGTCAGAAAATAGACAGAAAGATTTTTCATTTTCAGCACTTGCAACACTTGATGGTTCTCCTGTCATCTCTGCAACACCTAAGAACCTAACAAATTACAAGAGCATCTAAAGATGTTTAAGCTAGCAGTGAGTATTGCAACGAAAACTCAAGTCATCATTTGAAAAGACATAGGGACTTGTATTACCTCAGGTAAAGACTACCTCAAGACAAATTGTGTTGCTGTTTTTTGTCTCAAAAAAAGAATAGAGATTGGGCCTTGACTGGCTACCTAAGCCATTGGTAGACCTTTTGGATGATTGAAATTAAGAATTATTCTAGATCAAGAAAAGAAAATACCAGGGAAACACCGTGTACTTGAACAGCCTGTACAGTGTTTCTAGCCTGTACACAGTGTTTCTACAATGTTAACAAGAGAAATACCGTAATACTGTCATCAGAGAGCATTGCGTACCTGTATACCCTGGCTGACAGTTACATCTGTACTCGTCTATGGTGATAAGTTCGCAGGTGCCTCCATTGTTGCACGGGTTGGTCACGCAGGGGTTGTCCACGACCGTGAGACAGATCATGTCCCGGTAGCCCAGCGGACAGTCGCAGGACCACGTGGCGTTGTCGTGAACCACGCACGTTCCGCCGTGGCGGCAAGGGTTACTCGCACACGGGTCCACCTCCTGACAGTACTCACCAACCCAGCCATCAGTACATCTGCAGAGGACAGAACAGAGATGATATACATTAGATCATATGAAACTCGAGTCTAGATCGTTTGCTATGGTATCTTTAACTATGACGATCCACCTCCAGGCAGTACTCACCCACCCAGCTATCAGTTTAAGTCTAGAACTGGGCCCTGATGTCACCAATCATGGCCTGTATCAAGCTAACTGGAAAGCATTGGCACGACAAGATTAATAGTAAACTCTACATCATTGAGCAAGACTCAATTGGGTATGTACTAGGACTAGAAATGTTGTGTTCTGTTATAGTGTCTATGACAAACATGCCGGTGTTCACATACCCAGCCATCTATATATTTGTGATTGTGAAGGAGAACATAGATCATGTTTAATTTTAGATCATTGAACAAGACCTATGACAGTATCTTCAGCTCACTAGAATGAGCACATAAAGTTGAGTCATCTGCATTTTGGCAACTAGCCCAATGCCAAGCCATTAAAAAGACACAGAACTCAGTTTTGAGTGAAGGGTGGACCACACAGCACTTTGTACATTGGGGTAGAACCCCCTGAGGCTTCTGTGAAACTGTGAGACTTTTTTGACATTTAAAAAGGAAGGGTCCCAGAGTCAAAACCAAGGGAAGAAGCCTGAAGCTCTGTCACAGTAACAGTTTCCAGACCGTGCTATTAACACCTTTCAACTTTCTACCTCATTGTACTAAAGGATACAGTTATTGACATATTGGAAGTTCTTGTAGTTGCTATGGCTGTCTCTATTTTTACTTTATTTGCCTGGTGCTCTTTCGCAACAAAAGAAAATGTGTCATCACGTCACAAAAAGCCTATAACCGGAAACGTTAAACAGTGGTCGCAGCTCTACATACAGAAGTATCACGACAAACCGCTAACACAGCCAACACCAGAGGCCATGTTGACACTCGACAGTGCCTGGATAAGCAGCTTTCCAAGTTTGCAAGTCTGACACTCCCGGCTTAGAGCGTTTTCTGTTGGCCGGCTGCATGAAAAGATACATGCTGAGAAAATAACTCCTGAGACTTTCCTATACGCAAGAGGCACTTGTCTGAAGGTTAAGAAGTGGGCAAACTCGGGACTGGGACTCCTGAATGGGGCCGTATTTACACATCTGTCGCGCTAGGTACACAGGACCAGGAAAACCCAAACAAAGGGAAGGAAAAGAACAAATCGAACTCCGTGCATATCTGCAAAGCCTGCGCGTGGACAGAATTATAGCCAGTTGGATTTGAAATAGACCCAAATCTAATATATCAGGAGTTGCACGCTTTTCTGTTGTTTGCCCCAACAGGTGGGAACCCTACCTTGATTACATTATTGACATAATAGGGGCCATTTAAACAGGTCTGATAAGTGTAGGAACACCCGCAAGAAAAGTGTGCTACTACAATTGTTTCCTGGCAGCACAACTTATTGAGTCTTACTTTTTTTTCACATCTGCATTTGTAACTGTAACAACATATGTTTGAAACAGGACACCTGGAGAGATAGTCCCACCACAGAAGCCTGTTTTTCCCCACTTGATGTTCAAGTTTGGTAGGCTAATACATTATTCATGACTAGTAATTGGCCAATGATGGCACAATAGGTCACAGGACGAACAGGTGTGCATACTGATCGCCTGGCCCTCGGAGCCTGGGAAAAAAACGGGCACCATTCATACAAAACAATGGCCCCGGGCGCTTTAGGGGACCAGGCACGCAGACAAAGAACTCTCCACTATGCAGCGGTAAGAGTTGGACAACACTGGGCTGGGGAGACCCACAACTGAAACTTACTCCCAAAACACAAACAAACACTGTTACAAATTCTCTCTACAACTAAAAACAACCCACATTTTTCACAAGTATGCAGATAAGAGGAAGGGGATTTGGGACCTGCTCTCTCAGGACCTGCTACTATTTAGCAGTAAGAGTTGGACAACACTGTACTGAGGAGACCCACAACTGAAACTTACTTCAAAACACAAACACTGTTACAAATTCCCGACAACTAAAAACAACCCACATTTTTCACAAGTATGCAGATAAGAGGAGGGGGATTTGGAACCTGTATTCTCTCTCGGGGATCAACATACCAAAGAACAAACAGCAAAACAGATCATCCACCAGTCATTCTACAGTAACATACACACCGTTTCACTGGGTTAGACTGTAATTGTCTGAAATTCCAAGGAGATTTGGGGAACAGTTAGTCACTAACATATACAAACATATGCTAGATCTGTTTTCCTAAACTAAATTCACTGAAGTTTAACTAAGTTTGAAGTTCTACACAGTTTTATCTGAGATTCACTTGTTTGTTTTCTTATCTTCCAGAGTTTCTAACTTGAAAGGCTATGAAACTAAATCGTTGAAGTTCCACAGTTTTATCCTAGATATTCTTATTTGTTTTCTTGTCTTTCAGAGTTGAAAGGCTTCGAAACTGAAAATATTCAGGGAAAACAGCAGAGGAAGACTGCGTGAAATCCATCCCCACTATCAGACATGGTGTCTTTAACATACAACAACAGATGTTCAACTTTCCGAATCCTACCAATAAATAACAGGAAGCTATCAACCTTGACAGGCAGAAATCCAAGGTTTACATAGTTTAAAGTCTCAGGTTTGAACTTTTACACAGGTTGAAGGTTTCTTGGAATGACATCTACACGCTCTAAAACCCAAACATGCACCAAATGTTTGAGGCAAATCACTGAGGGAAATCCATCTGCAGCCTCTGACATGGTACATTATCCAGACACATCCCCACTCACCAAAACAAATGTCTACCTTAGGCCACAGCAAGTAAATTTTATGGATGACATCACCGCACGCATTAATTTTCGCCTGATTTTGGAAAAAAATTTTGTTGCCTTCTGACAGTGGTAACTTGCCGACAATGGGCAAAGATGTCTGTTGCCATGCCGGAAGGTGGATGGCAGATAACTATGATAATGAAGAGAGGAGACAAGAAAAGGTTCTGATTTTATGTTTTGTTTCTGACTTTGATGCAGTGATATGTGATGCTGGCTGTGTCTATGTGATGTTCCCACTGAATCAAAACCATTTGTACGATGATTGAGTCAAAATTTTAAAATGTAGGAACCTTGTTTTTTTCAGTCCGCCTTGTTTTTCTTTTTGCCCGCTCGCATTAGATTTGGAGTCTGCGGAGGATGTCACCCATAAGAATTACTTGCTGTGGCCTTACACCAGGTCCTGTCAGATGAAGTTATATCCCCTGAACACCTGTTGAAAGCCTTTTTCCCCCTTGGCAGCTTCTCTCCTGACATCCTCCATAATAGGCACAATTAGGTCCCCCAGCCCCCTCCCTATCTGATCAAGTTTCTCTGCATTTACCTCAGCTAATGGAAAACACCTTTGCGATACAATTGCAGTCTTGCCAGGGACTCTTCGCTATCAATTTGACATGGCATTTTGCCTTGCCTTGCTTGAAGCTTTGCCATTGTTTCTTGTACTGTTGTAGTGGCCAAAGACCAAGAGTCGCAGAGAATCAAAGCTTTCCGTTTATCTTATGAAAGGAACAAGGAATCATCTCCACACCTCCCTTTGTTTGTCCCCCCTTGCCCCAGACACACGCCCTGACCCCTGTGACCTGACTCAGACACCTAACCGCATTACCAAAGGTCCGCCAGTTCATTTGTGGTGGAAAGGCCAATAGAACCACCAATCGTCTGTCTCATTCCCTGACCTCTCTGACCTCTGCATAATTGTCCGTGACCCTACCGGACTCTTGTCCACTACAAAGCAAATTAACCCCCCTTTGATGAAGGCTTAGTTGAGATAATGAGAACAAGTTTCAATCAACAAAACACACAAGCAAAAAACCTTCTGGTTTCGATTTCGAAATCCTAGAATTACAAACTTTCAAATCAGTGATCTCACATGACTTTGTACCAAAATATATTCATTTATTCAGTCTACAAGTAGCTTTATAAAGATAGAGCAGAAAAAGGAAGATGTCAGGCCATACAAATCTCTTAAGGAACTCACAATGGCACTGCCGCTGGAAAATTGAATAGGACATTTGGTAGGAAAATGACAAGGAAAATACGGAATTCACAGGGGAGTTGAATTGAATGTAAAGAGCTCCTTACTTCAAAAATATCAATGAGAGCGAAACTGAAAGGGTTTTGGACAGAAAATGTTTGTGAAACATCTTTTCTGGCTTCCTCCGAAATGAGTCACAATGAACATGATTGGGCTATCTTTGTACCACTTTTATGGGGCTGATATCAGTAGTGCATATTCATTCTATGATTCTACCAAGTCCTCATTATAATCCTTCAAGTACTGGCTTGGGTGTTTGCTTCTAATTTTATGTTGTTGTTGTCCCTGCTTTACATCTATTTTTCTGCTAGACTTGGACTCTTAATTTTACTGGACAGTCCCCAAGACGTGGCCACCCACATGTCATTATTACTGGAAGCTCTCTGACCATACCCCCACCCTGCCATAGTTACTGACCAGTCCCCAGGTGCTGACAACAGGGGAGTGTTCCTGGCTAGCTCAGGGGCCTGGCCAGGCAGTTGGACTTGACAGGTTCTTGGACCATGTTGTGATGTGCAGCACCTGTCACCCCTGGGGGAGCCAAACTGCTGCTGCTTTTCTGACACACAGGTCTGAGGGCCTTATGCAAGAGTCTGGAGGGATTTACACTTTACATTAGATTACTCTTTTCTCTGTCTGGCTACACTTGAAACTTTGTACACAATTATAGCATCGAAAGCTGTAGAAAATGGGCAAAGTGTAACTGCTGCTGGTTTTCTGACACACAGGTCTGTGGGCCTTATGCAGGAGTCTGGTGGGATTTAGGATACTAGTACTCTTTTCTATGGCTACACTTCAAAGACAGAACTTTATGGCATCAGAAGCTGTAGAAAATGGGCAATGTGTAACTGTCGCTGGTTCTAACACACAGGTCTGTGGGCCTTACATGCAGGGGTCTAGAGGGATTCACACATTAGATTACTCTTTTCTCTGGCTACACTTGAAA